AGGAGTTAGTACGGAAACAAGTGAATGGGCAATGCAAGGTATGCCCTCTATTTCTCTTGCACGTGCTATGTGTTAGTCTGAGTGACTATAAGTGCATGTTTGGTTTGCAATAGTCGACAAGGTTGGATACTATAATAGACATGATTTTTGTGCAACTAGTAGAGCATACATTGCTCAATTTATAGCAAAGTACCACAAATTCATTTTCATCTTCAATATCAAACAAGCAATATGTTTTTTCAACAGTAACTTCCATTGCTGAGCTATTTGATTGTATCAAGTAGCTTCGAATGAATGGATGATCCATACATTATTGCATTAAAATTTCTTTTTCTTTTTCTTTTTTCCTTTTTTTTTTTTTTTAATGGTTTCCAAAAGAGTTGAAATGGTTAGAAAAAAATTGAAATGGGTGTGATATTGTTGGGGAAATGGTAATAAGGAAGCATAGTTGATGTGAACAAAATTCTCAAGCATAAATATCGATGTGTATTTGATTCCACAGACTCAAAGAATTTACTTCCACATATGCCTGAGTAAACATAATGAGAACTTGAGCCACGATACTGACGTGGAAACAACTCTTATTTTCTTCCTGACGTTAAAAGTTGATACCAATACTGACAATAGCACAAGGCAATTTCAAGCCCAAGACCACTTTGTAGTTAAAGAAAACCTCCTGCCATCATGCATTTGAAAATTGTTCCTTTCTTGAACTTCTAGAACTGATACTGCTATTTTTTGCCAAACCTTGATTAAAATATATTTTTCGAGATCCTGAATTTTTTTCCATGTGATCTGTAACTTGATCTTGTGACTCTTGTATTTAAGTGGGAAGGAACTAATTATGGCTGTGATACATTTGCAGATTTCTATACCTTGAGGAGAGAGGTGGAGGCTACCTCAGAGCGCGTTGAAGAAATTAGGGCTGCTTCTGGTCTGAAGCAGCTCAAAGAAAATCTTGAAGATTTGGAGGCAGCAGCTTCAGATAACTCTTTGTGGGATGATCGAGCCAGAGCTCAGCAGACCCTTCAGGCTCTGACTGATGTGAAAGACAAAATAAAACTTCTTAATGACTTCAAATCGCAGGTTTCGATCAATTTTCTCATTTTTGTTTCATAAAAATTGTGAACTTGGTAAAATCTATGGCTTGTTCGGTAAGGTAGATTAGACTGGGTTGGACACTATAAAGGAATAAATAGAAAAACTAGTTCTTGTTCATTGTCCTCTCTTGTTGTACCAAACATGCACTTATTGTTCACTTGTACAGAATCTAAATATTAATTTTTGATACAGGTTGACGATGCAGAAACAATAGTTAAGCTTACTGAGGAGATGGACTCAATTGATACAGGGCTGCTTGAAGAGGCTGCTGGAATTGTTAAAGAACTAAACAAGGCATTGGATCGGTTAGAATTGACTCAACTTCTTTCTGGCCCCTATGATAAAGAAGGTGCTGTAATCACAATCACAGCTGGTGCCGGGGGAACTGATGCCCAGGTAATACCTGTTCTTACGATAGAAAGCAACTAATTTCGAACTGTGTCCCCTGTGGTCCTGTATGTATTATGGGATTGATGAGCTACACTTGCTATGAACGAATGCATCCATCAAAACAAATTTATATGAGGGCTGCATCTACAATGAGCATAACATTGTTATTCGTGTCCTCAATAATAAGGCTGCAGGCTGAGGCGCTGCTAAGACACTTGAGTTTTAGAGGCTAAGCATGTGTGTAATTTGCTACAGAGAGTATGGTGCCAGAAGAAAGTTCTTACGTTTTTCTTTAATAATTGGACACCATCTCTGGATTCTCTGCTATCTCGTCACCCGTGTGGTAGTTTTGAACTAATTTTAGATGGTTTTGTTAAGTGTCGCTAGCATCTCTGTGCTGAATTTTTTATTCCTTCTAAAGACTGTTTGTGATTTTTTAGCTGTCTTTCTTGGAAAGAATATTTCCTGAACTCTCACATTATGAGTTTCCATTTGATTTTGCTCGCTAATTTTGTCTTTTCTTGGCTTTTTTATTTTTTGACTTGATACAGCTGCATTCTTAATTCCAGACATGGACTGTCATGTTGATAATTTAAGCAAGTCTGGGTCGGTGTACATTACTCATGCAGCTAACGTTAAATGCAATTTATCGCCATGGCTGATATATATCTTTGTTGCATGCGGCAGGATTATCTGCTTTACTAATACTGAAGGAATTAATACATGCATTGCTGAATCTAAATCAAATTTTGCACAACTATCTTGGATATCCTGTCTCTTACATTTGGCGTTCTCTTGTAAATTTTGGTACAGGCTACTATGTGAATAAGGCTTAGTTTCTCCCTTTTTTTTTTTTACTTGTTTTGTCCTTAGAACTTATTTGTATGAGATTGTTCATTTGCACATTCCACTCTATAAATATACTATGTTGGATTTCTATGCTCTTCATGTGCTCTTCACAATAAGAAAAGCCATACTGATATTAATAAATTACCTATAAAAGTATTAAAGTGCAAATTTCTGTATTTATATCTGCTTTTTGTGTAAAATTCTTTTGATAAATTCCAGTGCAGGATTGGGCTGACATGCTTCTCAGGATGTATGTAAGATGGGGTGAGAAACAGCGATACAAGACAAAAGTTGTTGAGAAGTCCTTGGGTGAAGAAGCAGGAATTAAGTCGGCCACAATTGAACTAGATGGACGGTATGCCTATGGGTATTTGTCTGGTGAGAAAGGAACTCACCGAATTGTGCGACAATCCCCTTTTAACGCCAAAGGTCTTCGCCAGGTAACTTCATGATAGAATTTGGGATAAGTATTTTCCCTCTGTATTTCAGTGGTTCCTAAGTCACACCTCCAGGGTTGTACTTGAGATATAGAAAAAGAGATTTTTTAAAATTTTAATTCTAAGGTTGCATCCAACACATTTTCTGTTGAGACCTGAGAACCACCTGGATAGCTCCTCATTTCAGGAACGGAAACAACCCCAAAAATGAATGAAGAACATGAAACAAAAAATGTTTGTTGGTTTTGCTTCCACTTCTAGTATAGGTTTGGGAGCCCAAGTTGCTAGATAGCATGTTTGGCTAAGCTTAAGAAGTTGGCATGTAAGTAAATAAGTAAGATTTAAAAAAATTAAAATTTTTAATTGGTCAGAGTTAGAATCAAGTTTGTTTCTTATTTTAACGTTAAGGTAAGAGTTACTTTCAAATTAAGCCACTTTTTTTACTTGAAAGTAAGAAAAGAGTAATATATTTAATCACATTTGCTAACAAAAAGTTACTGTTGAAGAATATATAAATGATATACATGTGCCCTTTTAACCGCACATGCAGCCACGTCTTACAGCTTGAGCTTTTAGATTAGTGGTTCAACAATTACTTTTTGGATTAGTCTAAATGTACATAATCCATTACCTAATGGATTACACCCCCCTCACATGGAGGGGGGCCCACGCACAATAAAATATTTGTGGTGGAGGGGGATGTAATCCATTAGGTAATGGATTTGGTGTACATCTAGCACAACCCTTACTTTTTTAGCTTAGTCAAACAGTACTGTGTCTCGTTGAATGGAGCCGAGAAAAAGGTTGATGTAGCTGACCCCAACTTTATTTAAAATAAGGCTTAGTTTGTTGTTGTAAGTTGCTAGCAGCCCTTGTCCAGAGATTATTGGATAATTCACAGTAAATTTCGAAAATGAAATCGTGCAGACGAGCTTCTCTGGTGTCGAAGTAATGCCGCTTCTTCCTGAGGAGTCAATGGATGTAGACATACCTGAAGAAGACTTGGAGATCAGTTTTTCTAGAGCAGGTGGAAAAGGTGGTCAAAATGTAAACAAAGTCGAAACTGCAGTGCGCATTACTCACATCCCCACTGGAGTGACTCTTCGTTGCACAGGTTATTTCATTAACATTCCTTAATTGTTGCATTATTTTGTGTTTTTACACAAAATGGTCTTGTTCAAGTTCTTTCTTTAAGTGTGTTTCAATACTCACCCGCATATCAATAACTAATTTGTTTGTTCATCGGGTAAAAAACAGTTAGTCGCTCAACTTTGAGTCAAACTTTATTTTGCTCTAAAGTGGTACTAAAGTCTGCTTTTTATTTAGTTACGTCACTTGTTTAGAACCGTAGTTTATCTAAGCATTTTTTTTCCTGATATTTTGTTTTATCATTGCAGAAGAGAGATCCCAACTGGCAAACAAGATCAAAGCTCTGAGCCGATTAAAAGCAAAACTACTAGTTATAGCAGTGGAACAAAGGGCATCTGAGATCAAGCAAATCAAGGGAGATGCAGTGAAGGCCGAGTGGGGCCAACAAATACGTAATTATGTATTCCATCCATACAAGCTCGTTAAAGATGTTAGGTCAGGACATGAAACATCAGACATTGCTTCTGTAATGGATGGTGAGTTAGATCCCTTCATTAAATCTTACCTTAAATACAAGTACAGTACATCTATGTCAACTACCGATCAAGAATAATTATAATAGAAGTGTAATTTAGATTCTTTTAAATTAATCTTAGTGTATATGTTTATGTTATTACAATGGAAATGAATAATTTTTCAAATATTGATTAGTTAGTTGTTCAACACCTAGTTTAGAAAAGTTTGGCCTTTCAGATCGACAAGTTCTTCGTAACACGTCAATATGTGGTAGCTTCCTCAATGCCGATATTTGTCGTGGTAATTCAAATTTAGCTGTGTTCTTGTAGTATGTTTTTTCGCTTAAAAAGTATATTGCATTATCCTACTCAATTCCGAGTCAAATGGAGGTAACGGGATTGTGTAGACATGTTTCCTTGTAAATATGCTGTTTGTATAAGCTAGTTTCATTCTTCACTTGAGAAATATCTTTTACAAGGCAAATTGACTCATTCCAGTTGATGTACGTAGAAATATTACATAAGCTATACAAAATTCAGTTCCTGTTCACTGAAAATAAACAGAAGCTGAAGCAGCAGGTGCTGCAATTAAGGATACATATTGAGCATGTCGCTGGCATCAAACTTCTGAGGCCTTATTAACAACGACGGAGGCGTAATTGGCAATTGTTGATTCTGGTGATTGTCGAAGTTGTGCTATTATAGGGAATAGCTCTGACGAGCGAATGAATTGCCTGCACAACGGATATGCGCACATCTTCACCAATGAAAACAGGGCTATCTTTAGAGGAGACTCGTTTATGGCATCTCTCCTTGGGTTCAGTGCCACCACCGAACAGTCTGCCACCACTTTTAACAACGCCTGAACACCCACAATTGTTCTTCAGAATCGGAATGGAAGTATAAATAGCATTTTATTACATAAGCTGACAAGCCTAAAGCAACAATTCGAGAGAAATTTCATGTTTCAGTTGAATTTTTCCCATTCGGTTCACTGATTCGAAGTTTGTTACATTTTGATCATTTCGTCCATTTCCATTAGTTGACTAGGGAAAATAACAACGGGAAAGATTAGTTGGCAAATAACTACATTTCGCGTTACCTTAGTTAAACTAACGTTTATGGATGTGGAGTGATCAAATTGTAACAAAATTTAAATCTACTGGCCAACTTGAATAAACGCGAAGTTCAGTGACCAACATACAAATTGCAAAGATCAGACATTCTTAAATAATGGCATGCATAGCATCATAGGAAAACTGGAAGCAATGAGTTTCAATAGCAACTGAAGAAAGAATATGAAAATACCTGCATGGCTCCTTTAGAAACAATGTCTTCACAAAGCTTGTTAGAGTTCCGAACAAGATTGCTGAGTGCACCTGCAGCGTTTGCTTTAGTTTTGTCTTCTTCTTGAGAAAGTAGCAAATTCCTTAGCTGGGGGATGGCTCTTTGGAGCTCGTCGTATAACGAATCGCTGTGATAAGCAGCATTGCCGACCTGTTGGGGAGAAATGTTTTTAATCAAGTGTCCATACTAGATTATGTTGTCACAAATTAACTAGAGAGAAATTTTGTTGAGTTGATAGAAAAACTAACTACAAATGTGAAAGCAATGTAGAAAATAGCTTACAGCAAAACAAGCAAATTTCCGTGTTCGTCTATCAGGATCAGCGCATCGATCAATAAGGAGACCAATGATTTCATGTTTTGCCTTTAAACAAATTAAGAACACCCACAGAGTTACAAGGACGTAAAATCCGAAACACGAAAAACATTGAAGCAACTCAAAAGAAAATCTTTTTCATAATGTATGAAGTAAAGGAAACAGTTCTAGCTGAATGTTCTTTACCAGTGAACTGTAGAAATAGGAGCTATGGCGGCACATGTTGCCAATAGCACTGCACACCTTAGAACGCACATTGGAATCTTCATGTGTAAGAAAGTGCTTGAGAGAATCTAAGATATCTGCCCCATCGATATGTTTGTAAAATAGCTGCGTACACATTGGTGATTAGAAGCATGGATGTTTTTCAGAGTTGTGAGGAAGTTCTATATAGTAAGAAGAAAATTTACACGAGATTATCTCAGATAACAAAAGGTTGAAAAAAAAAAAAGGGAAAATGTTCAAAGGCTTGAAGGACAGAGGAAGCAACATGGAAAACACAGTTTCAATGACAGCATCCTAGTAAAGATCAATATAATAGAAAACGATTTGTAATGTGCTGAACTTAAAATATATGAAATAAGATTCCTCTTGTACTCGATGAAAAATGAGAAGTATATTTTTAAGTGCATCGTAGTTCTCATTCCATCAGGCTGCTATTTGTTCGTTGCAAACACAGTTTATCAGAAAGCATGCGGGCAGTTAATTTGGTGATAGAGTGAAAGCATTCCATCGTTGACTGTAACTCTTAGATCATAAATAAGTGCTGCATTTACACTACTCTGTGCCGTAATGTGATCTCACTAAGGACAATGTAAAATATATTTACAACTAGAACAACACAAGTAGGAGAGCTTGGCAATACCTTATCCATACGAGCTAAATCTGAAACAATCATGAGAATGTCCATGGTGACTTCCCTCGGGCAGGGGCCATTAAGCAATCTTTTCACTCTTGTTGGATCCAACAAGCCTTTACCTACAAGTTGAATGGCAAGCGGTTGTTGTGTTGAAAGTTTGGCGATAAATGCAACTGGCCTAGCAACGTCTTTCAAATCCATATGGTCCAAGCACCGAAGAATGATGGCTGGCACTTCAACCTATGAGTACAGAAGCAACTATTTCAACTAAACATGAAAGCCAGAAAAGTTTTCCAACTCAGAACCATGTATACAGGTATTATCCAGTTATTTATTCATGTTCAAGGCAAATGCAAAGTTCAAATAATGTTACGCACCTTTGCTTGAAAAGGTTTGAGGTCTCGTGTGTTCAAATATTTCAGGAAAACCCCGTGCAACCGTCCATAGAATGGTTTATGGGGAATTGACATTGCAATTGAACCTTGCAACATTTTATTATAGGTTTTTTCGTTGCGTTGATACTTCATTTCGTCTAGGGAAAAAGAACATGAAACCATTTTTCTGGGAATCCAATAGTTTAAGGCAAAGCAGATAAAAAAAGACAGTGCCTCCATTTCATTTAGAGGACAATGTTTCTTTTAGGGTTTTGTCGTGGAGTTCACTTGCCAAAAAGGATTGCACACTTGTGTTTGGATATTTGGGTATCCGAGGTTCAGTAAACGAAAAATGAGAAAAAAAGTCACAGTTATTAAAGCTTATTTCAAACATGTGGCACATATAGAGTAGATTTGAAGTTCCAATCACAAAGGTATCTATTATTAAACTCCGTACGAAGAGAGAATGTGATAAACAATATGAAACACGTGGAAAAGAAAAAAGGAGCTCCCTTCATAAGATCCTATTGTTAAGAAACTTGAGAAAGAGATGAGAAACTGACCTCCAGAAGGATCTGAATATACTTTTTCATGTTGGTCTGTATCGCTTTCATCATGTCTTCATCTACAGTGCAAACCTGCCCACCAGGTGAACCCATATTAAGAAGGAATCCACTGTTTACTGAAGCAGTAGCAGACGGCAAACCAGGAGCATTCGGTGCAGCTACGAAAGGAAATGCCAAGAGGTCAATTGTTGTATTAATTGTATCCCTGAGTCCATTTTTCCCTCCACCAGGTCCATTCCAGCACCTAACAAGCTTAAGATGTACATCAGATATTAGATCAGAAATGCACTTGATATGTTCTGCCCTTAGCAAAATTTGGCGAAATGTTGAAACTCCACCAGAGAGGCATTGACGGATTGATGAAATTGTCCACACAACCCCAGCAGGCGATAATCCAATTTGATCTTGTGAGCATTCAGATCTTTGATTAGAAGCAATTGAAATATTGTTTGCCAATAAATCAATAAGAAGCTGAGGAGTACCACTTGCACATAACTGTTGCACAGCCATAGGTCCTCCCCACTTTAGTCTCGAGTCCAATAGTCCAACACACCCATCCCTGAGGCCATGCCAATATGAGAGCAGACCATTCTGTGTATTGAGGTTCACTCCAGTTTCATCCACTACCGGGCCTCTTAGATGGTCACAAAGTGTAGCTGTTCGAGGAATTAATGGCAGAGCTGTCTCGGTAATGGCATTCTCAATAGTAGTTCCAGATTCAAGTGACAGAATGGATGCAAGAGCTAGCATAGCAGCTGCACGAGGAGGCTGCAATGAGGACTGCATCCTTTCATCAGATGAAAAATGGAATGCAAGGACTGACAGACGAGCAGACTGTTTTTTTGATGACGTTAGCATAAACAAAGAAGAATTTCTTCCAGATAACTTCAAAAACTGCGCAACTGTGGCGAGTACAAGGCATGAATGCAGAACGAGATCGCGTGCATAAGTTACTTCAAATTTAGGATTATCTGCTTCTCCTCCATTTGTCTCTTTATTTGAAGCAGCGCAAAAGGACAGTATGGAGAAAATCTCAGAAATAATTGTTCCATCTCCTCCGCCACTCACAATGGTGGTAACAGGTAGTTTACTTGGCAGACCACAAAGCACATTAACAACAAATTCACTGTGCATGCAACATCTCAAGATAAGCTGCAACATATAACATCAATCATTCTTTTACACAGACAATACAAATTATAGACTACGATAACAGAACAAAACTTAGAGCAACACATCACTTGCATAAATCGTGGGTTTTTCCACTGCCGGACAAAAAGGGATAATAAACTAACATTTGTATGTACAACATGTTAACAATCATAAATAAACAGGGAAGAATAACAAATATATTGTCAAGGAAGATGTGTGCTATCTCTGGCTGAAAAATGCTCAAACTTCCATATTCCTGCCTTATAGTTTTTCACAAAAATTGTGATACTACTGAACTGAATTGCTGTCATGACTCACAACAAGCTGTTCAAAGCAGGATCTAAAGAAAAAGACGAAAAAATGCTGTGTTTTTTTGGCTTCAAGCAAATTTGAACTGAACTGAAAATTACAGCCCGCATATCTGTTAATGGTAGTAGTAGGGAAAAGCCATATCAAACTACTTGAGGTTCTTTTGAGAAAACAGCAACTTAACAGAACTATTAAAACCACTGCAACTAGGGAAGCCGGAAGCATATAAAAGATTAATCTAAAGGATTCCATACTGCTAAATTCTAATTGAGGAATTCAACTCAATTAAGTTGCGCTGAGTTGACAAAAGAGAAAAATGCAATCACTCATGACTTCTAGTGTTTCTCGTCATACATTATAAGTTAGTCTTGTTTAGACTTCAAAGCAAACTGAAAAACAGGAAGGTAGAGCATTCATTTGATTTCCAGTATTCATCATATACTAGGTTGAACTGCCTCGTCTAAACTTTAAACTTTACAGTGAAACATAATGCCATAGGATGAACCTCTTGCATCTAAGAAACATAGATAAACAGCCTCAAAAGCTGCTGAATAAGAACTATACCTGTACACCAGCACTCAAACCTCTATCGCGGCGTTGATGAAGACAAAAGTACATGGCAACCTGTATGGCTTTTGACCTGAGAAATGCTTTTGTGATTGCATCAATGATTTCTTCTGAATCTGTTCCATTCCACGGATCATTATCATGTTCCTTAATGTCAAGTCGGATTAGAGAATGGCTCCGCAAATAGTTTAGTGGAAATAGTGCATTTCCTTTAACAGATAGAACTTCAAGTGCATCTATCAGTGACCAAATACCCCTGCAGGCTTCACAAGCAACTCGCAAAAAAATTGAAGAGCCTGATATGCGACTCGTGCCCGAAGATTCTAAGCACAAACACAAATGATGCACTACGCCTGAAGTTCTAGCATGGTCCAAAACTAGTTTAAGAGTTTTATTCACCACTGATGAGGCAGAACCTGCCTCAGGGGTTGAAGCTGCCGCAGATGCTTTGAGTGAATGTGCAACTTCAGATAACATGACTGCAATACAAGAAGTGGACTCATACATAACTCTTCCAGATGCCTCATCACCACTACCTGCTATCTGCAGATATCATAATTATGAAGCCTTAAGGAAATATGTATTTTCCAGCTGGGAAAAAGTGGCATCAGAGAAATGAAAATAACCTTTGAATACAATTCAACTAGTGCAACCCAATGCCCGAAATAAGAATCTTCAATACCACCTCCATAATTCTCTAATAATCTTCTCGTGACAAATAAGCCCTGTAACAAAATTTAAAACTGGATTAGCCAACATGCATAAGGAATAACACTAATTGCTTTTTCTGAATTTCTTCAGGGTAAGAAAGAAAAGTCAAGATAAAAGTACTAAGAAATATAGTTTTAAGTGGAACTGCATTTTCTTCTCATTTGCATTGTTACAATATTTTTCACTGCTGAGAGAGGAAGATAGATAGCTTCCCCGGAAAAGAAATCTGCTTATGGAGATGAATTTCTGTTTCATGATTATGAGCTCCCTGAGAAATAAATCTGCTTATGGAGAGATGGATTTCTGTTTTTTATGATCTCATAATCATTATCTTATCCATGTCAAGATACATGTTAGACTGAAAGACAAGCACATATATGAATTATACAAATTCATAATCAAGAAGAATAGTAATGATATACCTTTGCCACCAAGTCATTACCATCGGCGACTTTCAGTTCTTTCAGATGAACTACAGCAGAACTGAAGCCAAGAAGTTCACTTATCATTTCATCAAGAATCCCCCTTAATTGGATAGCACCAGCAGCAACTAAGTTTGAAAGGATTTTCAGCGATTGGTTCAAAGTAATTATATCCTGATCCCTATATTAGAAATGATAGGCAAGCATATCCCGTCAAAACAACAATTGCCACCTACCACATAAAACATCCAGTAACAGCATAAAACATCCAGCCACAGATTATATAGAACAATGTCCTTTTCTTTTGACTTCGTTGAAGATCTAAAATAGTATGTTCTCGTGGATTTATGTAAGAATAAATCATATCGAACGAAGATATCTCAAACGAACGCCACGCCATACATAGAAATTAGAAAGAGCATCTTTATGCAATGACTGTACTTCATATTTCATGCAAATATTTTTCTAAATTTTTTAAATAAGATAAATCAACATCGAACTGTATCACATCTCCAAACACCATGAGAGACTTCTTCTACTTAAAACAATTATATAAAGAAATTACTTGTTTTGGCGAATTTAGACTCTGAAACAAAATATTTATATAGTTAGCAACACGGATAATATAATAGATAAACAATTATTCAAGCATTACACTATGAAGCATAAACCAAAACACGTGATTGTAAGTAAACGTGAGCTTAATTTACCTGCAGGGGTTTTGGCATCCTTTGCGAAAACCTTTCAGAGGGAGCAGAATTGCTGCCAATGCTTCATTGTCTAGGCCAATTATTTTAGCACCCTTAACTGTACGGGAATTATTGTCCAAGCGATTCAAAACTTCACTACCTGAACACAAAGTAACTCTGGATCATTCGCTGCGTGTTATTAATTGTATATTATACAATTTAACTTGGATAAACCAAAAAGTACTTGACATATTTTGTTTGATGTGTCGCATTTGAGGAATTCATTCCAGAGATATAACATACGCTAGATAAAAATTGCATTCCACTCACATGTTGCATAACACAAAGAAAGCATCAGAAAACCAAACATAAAAACTGAAATATAGAAATATACATAGTTTCAGCAAACCAGCAGGAAGATGTGGGATGAGAGATAGAAGGCCATATCCAGCCAAATAAATGTGAAAAGGGTAAATTTTGAAGAGAGAGAGAGAGAAAAACAATTATTGTTTAATAACATGTCGATAAAATGAAAGAAATCAAACTAAAAAGAAGAGGAGTGAGCAGTAAATTTATCGAACAGCTAAAAAAAGGACAGAATTTCAAGATCGACTTGTAGTGTTAGGAGACTAATAACATCCATGGCACCTTGGACAAGTTATACAAGACAAGGCAAAGCGCTGGAAATTGGTGAGGCGAGTGGAAAAACAGAACTAGATATATTATTTTCTAATTTGATGTGCCAAATTGCTAATAAAAGGTTAACATGAGGGGAAAAAGGTGATCACTAGGAAACATAAATTACATGAAAGGGTTTAAACCTCCATCAGCTTTTGAAAGTCTCCACCTAGGAAAACAAATCTTTTAAGTAAAAAGATAACCAAATGATAAATAATTTTATCCCAGGGAAAAAAAATTTCTCCAGGATCAAAAAAAATATATATGATAAATATTAAAAAAGAAAAAGAAAGAAAACAATTTTTAACATAATTGACACAGCCAAACTCAAGACCATAGTCAACATGATTTAACAAAAACAAATTTACTTTACAATATAAAAATAAAAAAACAAAGATTGCTATTACTTTAATCATCATGTCGGGACGTGTCATATTGGCACTTTTTTGTTAAATTACTTGTCAGCATGTTCGTCTCGCGACACTCATGTACATGTGCATGCTTCCTAGGTAAACACGATTTTAAATAAACAATTTTATCACAAATCCACTAGGGTCTTGAAATTATATAATCTATACATTGTTATGCCAAGACAGTTTACCTGACTGTACAACACCGCCGGGACTTGGAAAACCTGGAAAGTCTTCCCTTGCCAGGACATTGTCTGTTGCTGAGTTAGTTCCGTTTGAATGAGGATCGGGTGGAGATTTCTGAACCCTCTCATTTTCACTATCTACGAGAGTGTGGCTTTTACCTATCACGAAGAATCTTGTGACATTTATATTCACTTAAAAAAATTTGGTCAGTGCTTAATTCCTTACTCTCTGGACTTGCGACAGTTGATCTAGTTGAGTTTTGATCATTGCCTCCATTGCTCAAAGATGTTGTCATGGTATGCTTCTCCTGGCAACGAGAAATAAGGGTGCATGAATATATGATAGAAAGGCCATAAACAATACTTTAAATGCTTAATTATAGAACCAAGGTAGTAACTTCTCACTTCTACATCGTTGGAAGTTTCAATAACAAAAGGATGTTCAAGGAGAGCAGGCCATGTCAGTCTGTTTTGTGGAACCTGTTTTCATGAATACAACAACTAAATTAACTGCAAGTAAATAAGAACAAGAGGAAGGCATCATACATATATTCACTTCTTTCGTAACATTACCTTATTCAGCAAACCTCGTAAAAAGCTTTTGAAATTTGAGCTCATGTTGTCTGGATATTTAACTGGATCCTGCAACAGAGAACGTACAGCTCATTTATAGGTCTATGCATCATACTATCACGATTGGTGCAAAAGATATTCATATCACCTTGATGATGTGCCTTATGAGTGCATAGACCGAATTTGTATAAAATGGCGGCTGTCCAACAAATAGTTCATATCTGTATGGTTTTGCTAAATACTTGGTGAGATTTGAGTAAAAAGGAGAAAAGAAAACAACCTAAATGAAGGAAAATGAAAACTACAATGGTAAAGTTGGAATTTATCAGGGAGTACATAGGAGACCTATATAGCATAACATCATCTTTAACATGACCTCCAGATTAGCAAGAAACCTGGTTAGCTTCCCTTAGGTTCAATATATACCAGAAGAGTGTCAAACAGAAAAGGAAATCATTGATTTTGACGCAACAAAATATTCTGGCTCATTTTCCATAGATAAACAACATCTTTCTAGTTGTACCTCCAATTTACGTGCAATGTGGACGGGCTGTGAAATGTATTATTACACAGCCATCTAATATTTGCATTAAAAGTTTATTCAAGATGCAATTGAAGTTAGATTGATTTTATTTATAAAAAAAATTCTTGTAATATTATATTTTGACTTAATTTAAATTTTAGTACCTTAACTGTTTCCTACTTACATTGGACTAGGTTGAACCCTTATACAAAAGAAGGGCATGCTTTGTTTTAATTACAACGTTGATTATTGATTAAGACGATCTCTCATTCGGTCATTCCTCTCTAGCACACCTCTCAATCTCTCTCTCCTTCATTTTCTTCTATTCCTTTCTTCCTCTCTCTATATCTTCCCCATTTTTTTACAATTCTTCTGCACTTGTAGTATTTGATTGCAAGCATACAGTGTCACTAGTCATAATCATTGAATATTTTTCCTTATTGCTGATGTAACGTTTTCTTACAACATAGTATTTATTTCAACTACAGAGAACAATTAACAACTTATAGAAATACACCTATCATGTATCCAGGAGAAGTATTCGAGATGCTAATAGTCAAAAGTTTAGTTAAGGAAGAATAACGTACAAAATTACACCAAGAGACCACAAATCAGCAGTGTGATTGTAGGGTTGTTCTCGTACTAATTCTGGAGCCATGTATAAAGGAGTACCTGGTATAGAATTTGTAAATAAAGAAGTTATCAGGCATTTAGCAAGCAAGTAGAGATTGCTATAAAACATATCAAAGTAATGATAGATGGAATTACATGAAAACACTCGCCTTTTATGGATCGCAATACCACAGTGTTTGCAGACATCGCACGTGCAAAACCAAAATCACAAAGCTGCTCAAGAGGGAAGGAGGGGAAAACAACATGCATACGTAGAGATCAGAAAAAGACACAAATGGTTGATGTTTGTAAGACGCTAAAAAAGTGCGGGTAATGAAAACACAAAAATACAGCTTTCCATGCAACCTTAACAATGGATCCAGCACCAATGAGTATATTCTGTGGTTTCATGTCACGATGAATTATACGATTTGAATGTAGATAATACAATGCTCTCACCTGAAAATTAAACAGCAAAAATTTCAATCCATAAGGAGAACTATGTTATTCCCACAAGCATGACTGAGACGAGAATGGTATTCAGGAGAAAATAATCCAATCAACAAAATTCATGAGTACAAAGTTCCTATCAAATAAAACTTTCAAGACAAGTTTCAACTGCAGTGAGAATCACAGAAATTGGAAGGATAGGTTAAAGCAACTGTGTACCAGCTGTTTCGCAATTGCTTGAACTTGTTCTTCAGGAAGGCATTTGTCATCCTCAAGAATTTCAAAGAGCTCGCCCTATACAAAATAAAGCCATTATCCACACAAACTCTCACTTTCATGCACTGTGTGGCAAAAGACAATAATAGGGGAAGAAGTGTACTTACTTGGGCAAATTCTGTGACAACACAAAATTCTTGCGGGCTCTCAAAGGAGTCCAGCATTTCTATGATATTTTCATGCTTCAATTTTCTTAAAATCTGCAATAATTGGGACAACTCACAGCAGATGAAGTCAACATCCAGGCATATTCATAACCCTTCAAATATTATGATCTATATCATAAAAAGTACCTCTATTTCTTGCCTTAAATTGAGTATGTCCTTCTCACTTTTACCATGTTTGGGGATGAATTTCATTGCTACAGTCTGCAATTTCAACATAAACAGGGATAAAAATAAAACATAAAACAACAAAACTGTACCACAGGTAAATACCAAAAGTTTCGTAAAAAAACCTGGCCAGTGAACTTGCGCCTTCCTTTGTACACTTTTCCAAAAGAACCTTCACCCACTAACTCTATCACATGGTAATTTTCCACGCCCATATCTTAAACCCTTCAGAAAAGGGAGAAAAAACATTTTATTATTTTAACATAATTTCAAATAATTGAGCGAAATTCCAACAGATAGCAATCAATAGACGCCATATGGTCGATCGAGGATCCAAACTTAAATTAATGTAAAACATCAGCTAGACTATTGCTTAGAGAAATATCTCTATTATACTCTATGCACAAGGGCTTTACTTCAAAATCAAGTCCATCTTTCACACACGGAGAGTTAATGAAAATCCAAGTACCCAGTCCGGGTAATTTCGAAGAACGGAAAATTCAAAAAGAAATCCACGGAAATCATTACAGGATACTGTTCAACTGGACAGGGTTCAGAATTTTCGAAATAAACTACAGAAATTAAATGTAAATAAAATGTTTAATGTTAATGAAATTCAAACTGCAATTGAACGAGGAATAAGAACAATTCACCTGAGAGATTGGAGTGGATAGATCTCGTCTGTATGTGGTGTGAGTGGAGAGAGAGGGAGGGAGAGGAGAGGGGGGAGAGATGCAGATTTGAAAAGATAAAGTTTTGTCCGTTTTCAAAAGTTTAAACTTTAAAATGCACAAAACGCGCTGCCCAATGTTTTACTAGACGACGCCGTATAATTCACTTTCTCCTTTACAGCGCCCGCTTGGTGGCCATTTAAAAAAAAAAAAGTTAAATATATCAATGACCAACCAACTTTATATTTGTGTCATCATGATCACTCAATTTGATCTTGCTTTACCATGGTCACCCAATTTGATTTTATTTCACAATGATCACCTAATTTCATATAATATTTCATCATGGACATCAAATTTCATATAACATTTCATCATAGCCTCTCAATTTCATATACCGTTTTATCATGACAACCCAACTTCTTTTCACAATTTTTATTAAAACTTATTTTAGAATTTAAAAAGTAAGAACTTTTATTTTTTAATTTATTTTTTATATATATTACAAAATTACAGTTTTACCTCATTTAAAATTAGTGAGAATAATGAAAAGAAATTGGATGGTCATAACAAAGTATTATATAAAATTCGATGGTCATGGTGAAACGTTATATAACATTGGGTGGCGATGATAAAATAAAATCAAATTGGGTGGCTATAATGACATTAAGTATAAAGTAAGGTGGTCATTAGTAGATTTAACCCACACAAAAAAAACATTATTTTGAATAGTGGACTTTTGAAAAATGTATGGTTAAAAAGTAAAGAAATTTGATAAGTATTGTGTCAATGTTGATTAAAAATTAGTATGTAGAAAAAAGACTTTCGAAAGAATGAGAAACAAATGGGGACATAATTTAGCTCATGTTTATAGTGTAATATAGCGCATGCTTGACAACTATTATTTTAAATCTCTTTAATTTACATACTTATTTTCAATCGCGCATTTACGTAATAAAGCCTTTATTTGACAATCGTTGTTTCAAAACTCTTTAATTCTCATGCGTTAAAAAAATAGAGGAACAAGAATATGATAATATGTAGACAAACAATCATAAACATGAGATTTACGTGAAAAACTATATGCACAAGAGGGGAATCCAATCCCTGTTTGGCCCCATTAAAATTATAATTCATTTTTTGTCTCTTTTATTATCAATCAAACATTTTCAATAAAATAATATTGTATGTAAATTCAAAAAAAATATTATTCTTTTTTAATCACACATTTTACAAAAAAATACTATTCCAAACACTAAAATAGCAAATAATGGGAGCCAAACGGGAGCTCAATATATGACGAAAGATTATTATGATTTTTGTGTTTTCAACTTGTTTTATATAACAATAGAGAGCCAGTTATATATAAAATACATGTCAAACTCTAATTATAGCGTTTTAAATGAAAAAAAGTATATTAAAATTCGTCAAATCGGGAAACATATCTTAGGTCAGATATCACCAACGCTCAAGCACCCAGGCTCACGGGCAGTGCTCAGCCGCCTCATCCCTACTATTTTCTTCTGTTTTCTTCCTGGGTTGTACCTATGTGCTCGAACAGTGGTGCCCAGTTGCCCAATCTCTGCCCTAAATACTTTGAGTCCATCTTTTAACTTTTTAAAGGTTTTTTTTTTTAACAAATTTATCACTACTCAATGGAATTTGGATCACACTTCAACATTATACCCATTTTTAATCATACATTTACACGATAAAAATATTTTGCACGTAAGTTCAAAATTCTTTCCTACATTTTAAACACACGTTCTCCAAAAAATTACTATTCAAAATTTAATTTTCTCAAAATAATGGCCATCAAACAAGAGTTAAAATATTTTGCACGTAAAGCCAAATTTTTTTCATATTTTTTAACCACGCTATCTCTAAAAAACCACTATTCAAAACTCCATTTTCTTTTCTAAAATAATGGCCTTAAAAAAGGGGCTGCTATGTTTTTCAGCTCCATTTTAAATTATTTTTCAAAAATTCATTTTCAGTCACAAATTTTTCCATAAAATAATTTTACACGTGAATTTATATTTTTTTGTTTCCTTTTTTCAAATATACATTATTCAAAAAAATTACCTTTTTTTCCGAAGAAATGGGATCAAATATATACAAGATTACAATTTATCAACTTTTCAACCATATTTTTCATCAGCTTTTATCAAAAAATTTTAAAATTTTAATTTCTAACTACACAAACATGTGCTTATATTTTTCCTTTCGATTTTTTTTGTAGGATTAGAACTTCAAGTCCCTTTTTGATAGAAATTATAATCTATTTTTTTTAAAGTTAAAGTCAATAATTAATTTTAATCACATATTTCATGGGATCCACGATTTTACAATCACACGTTTCATTAACTTTTATAAAAATTGGTTAAAAATCTGATTTTAGTCTCTGCCAAACAAGGGCCAAATTTGTTTAATTGGAGCGTGGCAATCGAGTTTGGAGGCCATCCCCTATCCTACGGGAAACACACACAGATGAAGGGTTTGACTTATTTAGACTGTGAGCCCTTATTCTGTCTTCATTTCTTTTCACCCGTTTAATCCTTATTCGAGTTTCATTTGCCTATGTTTGAGCTTCATTTTTTCCCTGAACTCATTTTTTCTAAAACTCAACTTCAACTCACATATATTCACATAAAATAATTTTACACGTAAACCTAACAAAATTTCATATTTTTTAAACACACATTTTCTAAAGTCACTATTCCAAAACATTTTTCCCTAAAAAATGGGGCTCAAATGAGATTTTAATAAGTGTGTGTTTGAGTCACATTATTTTGGAAGAACATATTTTGGAATAATAGATTGATGGAGAATATGTGGTTGAAAAAGAAAGAAAAATTATTGATGTGATGAAAAATATTATTTTATTGAAGAATGTATGGTTGAAAATGAGTAAAAGAATAAAAATGAAAATTTTAATGCGGCTCAAACATGGGCTAATCTTTTATCAAATCTACTGAAACTCTAATTTTCAATCATGTTTGTTTTGGCCCCATTTTCCGAGATAGATTTTGCCATTGTCTGGTCCCTATTATTTCCAAGATATGTTTTTATCTCTCCTATTTTCAATCACACATTCTTTAATAAAATAATATTACACGCAAACCAAAAAATTTCATTATTTTTTAACAAGAAATTCTACATCAAAATATTATTCCAAAATATATTTTAATAGAAAAAATGGAGTTCAAACATTTGTAATTGTATTTTTTGAAGATTGTGAGGTAAAAGAATAGCGTTCTAAAAAGCGTGATAAAGCATGAAGGCCAAGTTTCTATCTAAGCGAGGCCTAGAGTAGAAAGCTTAAAAAATGTTTTCTTATTTTAATAATATTTTAAATTTATAAATCAATCTAAAAATTATATAATAATTAAAATTTATTTAATAATTAAAGAAAAGAGCATAAAAAGCGTTAAATCGTAAAAAATGAGAAAGAGTATGATGCATGGTATTTTACGCCCGCTTCGTGCCTAGGCAAACAATGTTAAAAAGTAGAGAAAAAAAATTTAATTTACGTGTAAAATGATTTTATTATTAGAATGTGTGGTTGAAAATGAATTTGAAAAAAAATTAAATAAAATCTTATCTCCATTTTGAATAGTTGTTTACTATTTATGGAAATTTTGAGGTGATAGTGAACTAGTAATTTTTTATTTTTTATTTTTGATAGAAAAATTTGCTTCATTGAAACAAAGGCATAAACCTCAAACCTGATTACAAAAATGTTTGTCATGGTAAACAATATTTACAATGAAATCTAGACAGTTATGCCACCATATTTTGACATCTTTAATAGTTCATGCGTGCCTAGCAACCGTTTGTGAGCCTGCTGCAGTGTTCCAAGATGCATATAGGAAAGGTGTTTATAAGATGCTTGGCTTCGACAATAATGTTTCCAACACTTGACTCATCAGCCTTATTAACTTCTTCAACTAGCAATAGACAGTTACTGTTGATGATTAAATTCTGTATACCAAGGTTTGAGGTGAACTGTAGGCCTCTCAACAATGCCTTGCTTCCACATCTTCGACTTCAAAAGTTTCATTCTCTTCTTTACTTAAAGTTATAACTACATCCCCGTCAGCATTCCTGAGTATAGCACCTGAACCCGATTTTTTACAATCGAAAAAGACTATCCCATCAATGTTAAGCTTGAAAAATTTTGTAGGAGGAAAGTTCCAAAAATGGTCTTTCTGCATAGCTTTCTTTTGCATAGGAGAACCATAACCTTTTTAGGAGAGGGCAAAGGAGATCACGTGGGAAGGATGGATACTCTCATTCTCATACAGCATGTTATTCCTCATGTACCACACGTCCCATGCCATAAGAATAAACTCCGTAAGTTCCTCAGTGCTCCCCTTAGAATGCATTTCCTTAACTGCATGCATGACAGATTGAGGTGGCTGATAGTGTTGAAATCTTTTTGTCATGTATGCTTGAATTGAGTCTTCGTGTTCCTGCTTACAGAAACTACATACTTGGTCGAGCCGAACTTTTTTTTTTCTAATAGGTTCAATTTTGAAGGGAGAGCCTCCTTACAAGCCCTCCATGCAAATATTCTCACCTTATTTGGGATTTTTAACTTCCAAATATCATTCCAGAACTTCCTTGAATCAGTTGCATATGAGGGTTCACCTTGGTTTGTAGTTTCCATGTTCACGAAAAATTTGTAGGATGATTTAACTGTAAACATCCAATTTCTCTCATGTTCCCAGATCTATTTATCTGCATCACTCGAAGCCGATGGATGAGTCCTTAAAATTGTTGCTGCTACATTTGGATTGAAGAGAGTTCTGACAAGATGAATATTCCACCATTTAGTGGACTGGTCAATTAGAAAATCCAATGTAGCTTCCATAATATTAGTTTCGCCCATAAAATTCGCCCAGGAGACAGGTTCCTGCAGAATTCCAAGACCTGGAACCCAGGCATCTTTGAAAATATGAATAGAAGACACATTCCCTACGATCCATCTTCCCCCCTTAGCCATAAGTTTTGAGGCTTCGAAGATACCTCTCCAAGCAAAAGATGGATTACTCCCCAATGAGGCGGCAAAGAGATCTCCATGTGGGAAATACCTTGCACTATACATCTTAAATAGCAGGCTGTCTTTATTCTTCAGTAGCCTCCAGCTTTGTTTTGCCAACATTGCCATATTAAAAGTGCTTAGATCTTTAAACCCTAGGCCACCAATCGATTTAGCCTTGCACAAACTCCTCCAACTAACCCAATGCACCTTTCTCTCCATCTTTCTTTGCCACCACCAAAACTTGGCCATCATACTTTCCATCTCAAGATAGAGTTTTGTAGGAAGTTTAAAACAACTCATGGCATATAAAGGAATCGCCATTGCCACCGCTTTAAGAAGAACTTCCCTGACTCTCTATGAGAACATATTGTTTTTCCATCCTTGTAATTTAAGCCAAACCTTCTATTTAATATCAGCAGAAGAATTGGTTTTGGATTTCCGGCCACAGGGGGTAGTCCGAGGTATTTATCATATTGCTGGACCCGAGAAACACCCCAAAGATTCATAATGATTCGTTGTTCTGCCGTCCCAACATTTTTGCTAAATACCATAGCTGTCTTCTCCTGGTTTATCAGCTGTCCTGAAGCCTCTTCATATTTTTTCAGCAAGTTTAGCACATTTCTGTTAGCCTCCTTATTGGCAGAGCAAAAAATCAGGCTGTCATCAGCAAATAAAAGGTGATTGAGAGCAGGAGCACCTCTACAGATAAGGATTCCACCCGTTAATTTCCTTCTTTTCGCATCCTTTAGCAAGCTAATGAGCCCTTCAGTGCAGATGAGGAACAAATACGAGGATAAGGGGTCACCTTGTTGCAATCCCCTAGAGGGGATTATATAACCTGTAGGACTTCCATTAATCATAATAGAGAAAGAGGCACTTTTTACACAGTTCATGACAAGCTGTACAAGATAATCATGGAAGCCAAGCTTGAGCATTATTGACTCGAGAAAGTCCCATTCAACCCTGTCATATGTTTTGCTCATATCAAGCTTTAAGGACATGTAGCCCTTTTTACCTTTATTTTTTCGCCTTAGATAGTGCAAGACTTCATAGGCAACTAGGACATTATCCGTGATCATACGGCCGGGAATAAAAGCTGATTTAGAATCCGAAACTACACATGGGAGAACAAGCTTAATCCTATTAGCAACAACTTTGGATATTAGCTTATACATGACATTACATAAGCTAATAGGTCTACAGTCGTTCACTTTTGTGAGATGTTTCTTTTTTGGCACAAGATTAATAAAATTACGATTAAGCTGTTGGGGAAAAACACCAGTGTTCAAAGCATTAAGGACATCTGAAATCACCTACTCACCAATAGAAGACCAATAGTGCTGGAAAAATAAAGGGGGCATACCATCTGGGCCTGGCGCCTTTGAGGGATGCATTTCGTTAAGCTCTTTGATCACCTCCTCTCTCGTGTATTGTCGGATTAGTTCAACGTTCATCTCCTCTGTCACTTTCCTTTCCACTATATTCAGTACATCATTCATGTTAGTAGGTCTAGTAGAAGCAAACAGGTTTGTAAAGTGGTTGAGAATGAGCATCTCGCACTGATCCTTCTCTAGCCAGTTGTCATTTTCATTTTTCAGCTTTAAAATGGTGTTTTTCTTTATTCTCTGAGTAGCTTTTGCATAGAAGAATTTCATGTTCTGATCTCCCTCTGCCAGCCAACTCGCTCTCGATCTTTGTTTCCACATAATTTCCTTCCTATCCGACCATTTTTGAACCTCAGCAGAAGTCCAATCGACATCATGGATGTTTAATACAGCAGGTTCTCTATTCTGGATGAGGGGTAGCTTCTATTTTTCTGCCTTAAGTTTAGAATCAACATTTCCAAATTTCCTCTTGTTCCAAAGTTGAAGAGAGGAACTGCATGAATTAAGGCATTGTATCACTTCCTGGCAGCAAGTACTCTAGTTTGTATTACCCTAGCATTCTTTAATAATCTCAGCACATTCTTTTTCCTTCATCCACATAGCCTCAAATAGGAATGGTCTTGGTCTATACCTCCTAGTCGGTTTACCCACAATCTCAATCCAAACTGGCAGATGGTCTGAATGTGAAATGGATCCATGTGTAACAGCAACTTTCTCATAAAGATGACACCAACATTGGGTACTCATAAACATGTCCAACCTTTCGAAAACCAGGCCTGATTCCTCACGTCTATTGCACGAGGTATATTTGGGACCACTATAGCCCAAGTCTTTTAGCTCGCAATCCTCAATCACCTGCCGAAATCCATGCATCTGAGATTCTGGTCTATCTCTGCCCTGCCTCCCTCCATTTTTCCTCCATCGTCGTGATCTTATTAAGGTCTCCAAATATAAACCAAGCCCCTATGTCAAGTCTAGCTAATATCCTCATCAATCCCATACCTTACTCCTGCGAGAAACCTAGGATTCCCATACATTCCAATAGCAGCCCATTTCCTCGAATCATCCACAACAGAGGAGTGAATGTGATTATCAGAGTAATTGACAATAGAGAGATTTGTTTCATTGCTCCAAAGCAGAGCCAACCCACCACTTCTTCCTTTGGCATCTACTGTAAAATAATTATTATATTGCAAACAAACACGTACCCTTTCCATTTTATCAGCATTCAGTTTTGTTTCTTGAAGAAACAAAATCTGGGGAGCTTCCTTTCTAACTAAGTCAGAAAGCGCTCGAGTAGCAAGGAGGTTCCCAAGCCCCCGTGTATTCCAACTTAGCAGTTTTATTGATCCCGGTGGGGCTGAGGATCAGCCACCATCGATTCATCTGAAATATCAGTAATAGATAAAGAACTTGTCCCAAACATCTTCAGGCGCTTTGAAGTGCTTTCTAAGCCAGCTTTATGAGTTATTCTCTTTCTTCCCCCATCATCACTGATCTGCATAGGGGTCCATTGGGTCTTGATACTCGTTTCCATGTACGAGAGCAGAGCTGTTTGGAAAGGCCCTTAGGTAATTCTGATGCTGATAAATCTTCAATTACCATCGTGCCCTCCGAGATAGAAGAAAAACCACTTTGGGTAGGAATGAAAGAATCAATTTGGGAATCAATTATCGCTGGAATTTCCGATTCTACAATTTGTATCGGCCCCATCATATTATTTGGGATATGCTCATCCCCACTAAGGAAAGTTGAATTTGATATTGAAGATCATTCTCCGCCCCAATTTTTGTTTTTGCCGGAAAGCTCGCTCTACCTTCCTTTGGTGTGGACTCTCCTTGTCGCTCACCGCCCTGAGTAAGGCTAGCACCGGAACCCAAAGGCTGCTCCGATGACCCTTCCGTTTCGTTCCTGGGGAAGGAGGACAGCATCCTAGCCCCCTTTTGTTCACTACTCCCTCTCACCCATATCCTATACGGGAACTCCTGTGGCGAACACTTCAACATCTCCGGATTCCTCATCTTACAATCTTTATGCTTATGGCCAAGAATTCACATGGTTAACAAAAGGTGGGCATCCTTTCGTATCAAAATCGGACCCAATCGGGAGAGACGACCCTACACAGACCTTTTTGCCTCTAGGAAGAGGTTTGGAAATTTCCAAACAAACCCGAATTAGGGCGTTACCAACAGTTTTACTCACATTTGCATTTCGGACCATCGCCGGTAAATCATGGATTTTGACCCAGAACAGAGCTTCCTTCATGGCTACCTGATGGACTTGTTGTAGACCCACAACATCCTTTGTAATCACTAGATGCCTATCAAACGACCAAGGGCCTTCCCGCTTGACTTTCTCCTTTCCCCGTTCATCCCCAAATTCGACGATGAATAAATTAGGGCTCAGGTCCCGAATCGAAATCAACCGTGAGGCACTCCATACCTTTTTCATTGTGGACTTCAGTGCTTCCTTATTAAAGTGTTTCACTGTCAGCAATTTGAAAATGAGACATTTTTTGCCTCTCGCTATCATCTCTTCCACCAAAGACTCCTCCAGCAATAAGCCATCTTCTTCCATCTCCTTGAGGGATAATCGCTCACATAGACCCTCCAACAAGTGATCCATTACAGGTATAAATCGGCCACTACGGCCTTAGAAGAGAACCAGAAGAAAAGGAGACGAGAACCTGCCTTAAGACAGGAAAAAAACCTCTACCAAGGGAGACCGTAGAGAGGAGAAAGAAACTCTCAGCAACGAGAAAAAAAATAAATATGAAGCCCTTTGAAAATTTATCCATCGTAACTATTAATTATTTTTCGCAAGTTTGGCTAATAAGTTGGGTGGAACAGATTTTAACACACACATTGAGTAGGATTCCATCGTATATAAGAGTTAGGCCCTATTCTCTTTATTGTTTTCAACCCATTTTCTATTTTCAATTTTTCAAAACAGTAAAAACGCGTTCTCTAACCTATTTTCGAAAACGTGTTTTGAAAAATGGAAA